TCTATTCAACAAACACATCTACTGATTAGTTGCTTGTAAGAACAGATTTTTTTTAAAACGAATAATTCTATATACTCGGAGTGTATTCTTTATTAAAAATAAAACAACATAAAGTAAATGAAAAAATGTCACTAAAAAATGCTTTGCAACGGAAGAGATTTCAAAAGTGTTGCTTGCGATGAATAGGTTTCGTCAAGTTTCTCCAGCTAGTTTTAGCAAAACAAGTATGACCACTTATACATTTCGTAAAGAAAATTAATTGTGGTTGTTGATAAAATGATTTTTTCTTAAAACTTTGTAGCGCAAGCAACAATATGTCAATATTCGATAATTGATGTGGTTAATTGATAAATATAATTTTGGTTTAATCATGAACATAAAAATCAACTATGTAAAATAAATAAATAGAGACTATATGATGTCGCTGACAGTTAACAAGACAGAATTTTTTAAGCCATGGTTCAGGTTTCTTCGAAGCAAGAAAAGTTTTGACTCTTACATTCATGTATCAGAAAATAGGTCATGTTTAACATTTTCCTTAGCTTCGATGACATATGCAGAAACTTGGTATTCTTCTTCTTGTTTGTAATTTAAGAAAATTAATATGATGCTGATCGTTACAAGTCAAATATTTGGTTGGTGCTGGCCAACAAATAAATAGTATGCTGAAAAAGAGATTAAATAAAGCATATTAATATAATTAAACGTCTTATTTTACTTTGATATTGTTTTTTAGTGTTTCCAATGGCAACATGTAAAAATGATTGGGTATCATTGTTGCAATAACTATATAAGACGATAGGGTTCGCTGACATAAAATGAACACACTATTTCAATAATCGTTGTTTCCACGCAACATCTCTCAGACTGACATCGAATTTATGCAGTCCACATTTAAATATGCTAGTCTTGTAGCTTTCACCGAGTTGTATAGAAATCGAAGATATATCAACCGGCACAGAAGTTGAAATTCAAATGAGATTCAATTTTTGAAGCATTCATATCAGGATTGTACGTGTCAGTTTTTGTAACCACATCAATAGGATTGTGTGTGGTAGTGTTTCAAGCTGCTTCATTGTAGAATGCCTTGAATGCTTCGAAGCTCAAAGAGTTCTAGAAAATCAAGTGGAATTAACTGTTTGAAGTTGCTGAATTCAGATTGTGTCTGTTAATCTTTTTAATCCCTTTAGTAGGATTGTCTCACTATGGTTCGATCTATCCTCATTGTAGATTTGCCTTGAATCCCAGCTCAATAGCGGTTGAATTTTCAATTTCTGGATGGTAGGTGCTGCTGCACGACACCATTATATTTCAAATGATACATCATTGATTAATTTTAATAATAGATAGTCAAGTGTCGATAAGAGTACAATTGTAAAATCTTAAGAAAAATTATTGAAAAGCAAAACTTAATTATAGTAATTCGTAATTCAAGTAAAAAAACATTGTAACAAAGAAATATTTCTACCATATCATTCTCGATTTACTTTTAACCTAATAACGAATGAAAAAGATATCCAATATACATTAATACTTTAGTTAATTATTTTCTTATAACTATCATATGTTATACGACTATAGTCATAATTTTATGATTAGTATACTATTGAATTTGGTTATGATGATATATATGATATTTATTTTGATTATTAATCAACTCATGATTATATATTTTTTGTTAGAGTCTAGAATATAGTTTTTACTTCACGGTCAATTATTTGTTTTTTTCCACTTCTGTTGTATATATTTATCTGTATATGAGCTATTTCAGAAAACACAAGGCATAACTGTCCTCCCCTTTCATTTGACTTTGATTCTTTACAAAGATTATTTTTGCTGAATAAATTCTTTTAACATAGACATATGTCAAAATTTTGGCTTTTTTAGTTGACTATTAATTAAAAAGTATCACTTTAACCATAAGAAAAAAAAATCCGAAAACTTTAGGATAGAGTTCGTACTCCATCATGTCACTATCAAAAAGTAAATCGATTATTTCGAAAAACGTAGGCATGCTCAGAAAAAATTTTGTATAGAGATTTTCTAGCTTCAGGCATTGTCGACAGAGTGTACTATTTAGTTTTCAAAAATGTTGCCTTAATTCAGAGTTTTTTAACACTAAAATTTATAACGTGGACAGTTGATGTCCTTGTTTGTATCATGTTGCTAACGCTAGTTTTTTCCTGATAACTCCTGTGAACAAAGGTCTCTAGCGCTGATCTTTTCAGCATATCCAGAGTAATTTAACATACATGCAATATATAAAAATTAGCTTTAGAAAAGCTCATTATCCCGAGATACAAGTGTTTTAATTTTGCCTATATATATTATTGTTTTTATTATCTTTGCTGATGAAGATTGTACATAATAACAAGGTCGAAAATTTCAGATTTGTAAAACTAAAATTTATATTACGTATTTCTTTTGTTCATTCATTATTAAATTGCTTACATATACTCAAGCATTTATAATTTTCATACTTTTAATCTTTTCTTCTATTGCTTAATGACAATGTATACATTCGATCGACAAGTTCAAAAGTTTCTCTAACAATAAATACTTGTTGTCTTTGTTGCTGTTGTTACTAGTATACATTATTAAATTCAACATGAAACAGATATTTTATTTCATTTTCACTAAGTTTTCTATTCTATCATAGAAAATTTCGTTACACATTAATTATATTCCTTAAAGATTTATTCATTTCTTCATATATATCTTCAATAAGAAATTATTTTGAACAATAATTAATAATAATCAAATGCGACAATACCATAGTTTGCGTAACAAATGAAACTTTATTTTGATCTTTTTTTTTTAAAATTTTATACAATAATCAATCGACATGTATCTGATGCAATTATTGATAAATATTCATTGAAAACTGATTAATATTGTTTCATAAATTATTCTTGAATATGTATTAAATATCCATGAAAAGTTGATTGAAATTCAATCAAATATGTTTTACCTATGATACCATATGTATCAGTCGATATTAAGTGCGTCTAGTGGAAAAAATTTGAGCTAATATATTATTTATTGAAGTTGTTTATTATGTTCTTGCAATTTTGTATTAAATAAATGATTGAGTAAAGATAATTTCCGATGATATGAACAAAATATCAAATGAAAGTAAACATGAGCGAGTATAATCTTATATAAAAAGAATATATGAATTAATAATTAAAACTTTCTGATTGAAATCATATGAAAATATTTTATTAATTTAATTAACTTATTATAGTTTGTCATAATCACTTATAAAAATTTGATAAAAGTGTATGAATAATTCTACAAAATTAAATATTCATATAATCAAAAGATAAATGATGGCATGATCGTTGAAGAAATTAAATAAAATTCTTCTAATTTTCTTATCTTCTTTTAAATAAATACATTATTGTTATAAAACAATCATCATAAATAATAGTACAGTTTTATAGTAACAAAATAGATATATTGACAGTCAAAAACTTCTTTATTATTTTCTTCATTGTTTCAACTGTTGCCGTTTTTAATATTGGTATTTGATGCAATTACTTCTATGTGATTGATTAATTTATTAAACATTAGAGACATTATTTCATTATGAATATGATCAGATCCTAATCATCAAAAACATTCAGCTAAATAATCTCAGATGAAATCATAAAGACTTCAATAGGACGAAAATATTCATGTAATGTTTGAAAAAAATGTCTTATTATCTTTAGTTAATTATTCATTTATTTCTTTAAATTCTATAGAATAGTTTAATTTTTTTCTCTTATAAAGTCTTTTATTATTGTCTTCTGACCATTGTTGTGCTAAAAGGATGTTATGTTAATTATACAGATTGATACAGGAAGAAGGGAGAGAGCAACACAAGAAACGGAAAAAGTAGTAAAAAAAAGAACGAACAAAAATAGGTTACTGAGAACTTTGAAAAGCATCGAAAATTTCTTTCATTGAACATAGTAGTTAAATTTGTCATCTCATGACATGTCATCTACGTCGTGGCTCTGCCAGATACATCGATATGTGGTATAAATCATTTTGATTTGGGCAGACAACGAAATCGTGTTCTACCTTCCTGCAATAAAGACCTGTAAGTATTCAGCGATGTTTACTCAAATAGATAATCGTCGAGTGATTTTGCTAGTAGATGTAGCAGATATCATCGAGTGACCGTTCATCATAGGCAGAAGTGAACAAGAAATCTTCCAAGCACAGGCAACGATATACATGATTTAGCAAAATGTAGTAAAAGTGGTTAAGTTTCAATCATTGACAATTAGTGAATAGAGCAAGAAAAAAAGTTTTATAACTTTCAAACTAAACAAGCTAGGAATGTCAGTTTTATGTAAATAGAAAGCGAAGAATTTTTTCTGTCGAGTGATCCTATTACAAGTCTAAATCGAAAAGAAAATAGATTTCTAATATAGTTTTCGAAAATCTCCATCAAGAACTTACCTGATCGACCAATTGCTGACAAATAAAATCTCGATAGTCCTGAGTTTTTTCTCTTGAATGATGAAAACAGTATGTCTCTATCATGTTCCTATCAAAAATTGTTCAAAAAAACAGTGTAGTGATTATATTTTGAAATAGGTAGTTGTAACAAAGCAAATATTTAAAAGTCACCAATGAATAGACAAACGAAATACTTCTATTTGATAAGTAGAAAATGATCAAAATTGTATAATTCCTATGTTTATAAATAGGAAAATATATTCAATTGGAATATTTCATAAAACAAAGAAATCTAAGGCCTTTTTAATCCATTAGCAAATGAGACGTTGATTAGTTAGATTATCTATTGTATTATATATGAAATCAAATATTTCAAAAGTGCAGAAATAAATGACAGACAATGTTAAACTATGTCGTCTTCCTGAAATATTTAGCTTAGTTTCATAGAAAAATAAGAAACAACAAGAACAACAATTATCACTGTATACATACAACAAAATTGCTGAAAAAAAAACAAAGAACAAAAGGAGTGAATAAAACAAAAACTATACATCATGACTTCGTCGAAAAAAGAGACCTGTTGATGCTAATGTTGTTGTTGGCTTTTCTGTTTGTCGAACAACAGTAGTACTAGTCAATCGACCAGAAGTGGAACTACTCGAAATACTATCATCAATATAAGGTAATTCATGTTCATTTCTTTTTTTCGTTGATAAATATGTTGTTGCATAAGGTGATGGACCTTTTATAGTTGGTGATGGTGGAAGACGTTGAAGAGGTGGCATTGAAGGTGAAGAAAGTATTGTAGTTGGTTCAGACTGAAGTTCAACATTTTTATAATGAGAAGTTGTTATATCAGAAGATTCAACTTGTATATCAGATATGCGACGAGTATCTTTTAAAAGTGGCATCAAAGAACTACGCAAACGTGTTTGACTACTAGTAATATTTGTAGGTGGTGTTGAAATAGAATCAGTTTGTTGTAATTCAGTTTGTTCTGTATCAACTAAATTTAATGGTAATTTTGGAAGTATATCTCGTTCAACAAATATTTTTCCATGTCGAGGATTAGGTATTGGTGGAATATCACCTGCAATAGTTTGATCTGTACTTCCATCATCATCAACAATATCATTATCATTTTGTTTATTATTTTCATCATCTTTTTCATTCATTATTGATTGAAATAATGGTTCACGACCAATTGTACTTGATTTTAATGATTTATAAAAAACTTTATAAAGTTCAACAATCATTTTTCTACATACATAATCACTAACATTTGATGCAACTAAACGTAACATAAATGTTCCATCACCTTGTAAATATTGATAAATAAATTTACGTTTTAAATCAATTTCAGTATTATGTTCATTAGTTAAAAATTGTAAATGAAGACGTCGTTGTAGATAATGAAAATTATTATATGGTGACATACGATAAAGCCATATAATAATTGATATAAAATTAAAACATGAAAGTATTATAAGCCAAAAATATAGATATGTAAATATTTGTTGATTAAATAGATTAAATGGTAATACACATTGAACTGTATAACGATGAGATTCTTTTGGATGATTTGGTTCACGAATAGTAAAATCACATAAAACCTAGACAGAAAAAAATAAATTATTTTCGAGATAGAATAATTTCTTTGTGTGATGAAGCATATTTGACATCAACAATCTCTCTATTGCTTCATTAAGACGTTTTTCCTCAATTAACTTCTCTTTTTTTCTGTATTTTATTCTGCTTCATAGAGCACATATTTGTTTAAAAAAAAAAGGACTTTTTTTTTTAGTTACCCTTGATAATCATAATCTGCTTCTAAATACAGAAATCTAGAAAATAAACTTTCGTAAAATAATTCGGTTAAAAAAAGAACAGATTGAGTTGTATTTGATAATTACAATAACAACTAAGAAAAGCTATGATTTTCGAAGACATTCAATAATATATCATTGAATTCATGAACCGTAATAATAGGAAGATGAAAATATCTTAGCATGAAGAATGTCACCGAGATAATGCTGGAAGAAGTGATATATGTTGAAGATATTTATGAATGTAAATGTATCTCAACTGATAATGGTCTACTACAATTTGCACAGAAGATTTCTTGTTGAACAAGTACGAATTTTTGCTCTAAGCATGTTTTTTATATCGTTGTAGGAGATCAAGAATTCATTGATATATTACTGAATTAATCCGAAAATCGTAGATTATTTAAGTTTTATAATTATCAAGTATGATTCAATATGGTCTTTGTTTCCATTTACAAATAAAATCTATTTTTAGCATGCAAGCAGACAAGAATTTCTAACGATGCAATTAAATATTGTAATCGTGATTGCCACTTGAGCGTTTTCGCATCCATTCAGAAAACACTATAACGAGCCTTTTTCATCATTAAAAGACGCATGAAGACAACCTTTACATATGGAAAACGTTCAAAAAAAATTTTCCGTAATATTATGATGTGTTTTACAGATAAAAATATTTTTTTTATGTTTGGTGTGTGCAAAAAAAAAAACTTTTTGGACGTTTTCCAGATGCAAATGTTGCTTTTTTAAGCATTCTTCATGATGAAATCAGTTACTTTTGATGTTTCCTGAATGAACATTAAAAATGCGATTAAGATGTTTATAAACGTATATGCAAATGAAAAACAAACAAAGTCTTAGTCTGAATTACAATACATTATAACAATTAAAGATTGGATATAACGTATAATGCAAAAATAATGGCATAAAATGTTAATTCCTATTTCTCTTCGATAAAAGGATGTTGAAAATAAAACCTTTTTTTAACCAAAATATAGAGCTTATTTTTATAATACGTTCATAAATGAAACGATGTAACAAAACAAGAGAAACATCCTTAAAAGAAAATTGCACTTTTCTTTAAAAGGATCGCACAAAATATCGATCATTATATCTCTTCGATCAATAGATTCTGAAAAGAATATTTTTTTTTTTATCAATTGATAGGAAATTTTCTTCTCTTTCAAATATTTATATTTGTTATATATTGGTGAAACATCGGCGCAATAAATTTATAATTTTAATATGAATTCGCCAGAAACATCTTGCAGATGACAGTTAATTACAAATTAACCGTTATTTTACAAGATCTTTCTAATGAGTCTACAAAAATCGAATTGATTGTTGTCTAAATAAGATGTTTTTGACAAGTTCATATAAAGATTATAAATTTATTGCGCGAATGTTTCTCGTCTTATATCATTTACGAATGTGTGACAAATTTGTTTGAAAGAGGAGAAAATTTCCTATCGATTGTTAAAAAAGTTTTCTTTTCAGAACAGTGTCTACAAAAAAAACAAAAAAAAAAAAATATATATATATATACAAATCAACATTTGTACTCCTTTACTTTTATATAGTACATTGATTCAAACTAATAAAAAATATTCTTTTTAAGAAGAGTCTTATACAACTATGGAACAAGCATTATCTATTCTTCTTCAAAGAAATGAATGAATAAAATGGAGAGATAATTTAATGAGTGCATCTATAATTGTATTTATGCATAGTAACAGGATGTTGGTATGATTAGTTCTTAGAATAAAATCATTCAAATTTTTGTTATTTATATAGGAATATTCTATATATATTTCTAAAATATAAATTAATCATACCACTTTAGGAAAATAACCAGTTCCTGCATAAAGTAAACCAATTCCTTTTGACCAATATTGATATATAATTTCAATACCATAAAACCAAAAATTTCTTCCTAATAATGTATTTAATAAGAGAATTTGTCCAATTGAATTTAATAAATAAAGAAATTTAATAAATACATAACTTATCATTAAATAATTTCCCGTATAAATACCAATAGGAAAAAAAAGATGACGTCCAATACGAATTAATTTTTCTTTTCGTGTTAAAAAAGATTTTCTTGTTTGAATTGTTGTTAAACGATAAGCATTTGAACAATAACTATTAACCCAATTAGTTATATAATTAAGTAATTTTATTTTATCTTCATGTCTTATATTTGCTGAACGATATGTTTGTGCTGCTTCAATTAAATCTTTTATATCAACACCACTACGAAGACTTAAACCACGCCATAATTGATGTGGTATATAAAATAAAATAGCCATTAAAAGAAGAATAAATGGTGTCCATTGATAATATCTAAGTTCATGTTCATGACGTTGACTATAATCATCAGGTAATGGTTCATGCATATCAAATGAATATGTGTTCGTTATAAAACATATTTGATTAACATATTGTTCATAACTACCAGTAAATTGTGCAGGAACCTATAACAAAAAAAAAAAAAAGAAAAACAACAAGATTTTGATTGGTTTGATTGTTTTTTTTTTCGAGTTAAGAAAAAAAAAAGGATACAAACCCAACATCTAATTTGATTTTCACTAAATTGTCGATTTGTAACAATAATTGCAAATACAGTTAATATTGCTACTGTATGTGAATAATTTAAACGATCAAATAAATCATCGTCAAATTTATTATATGCAACTATTTCAGGTAAACGTCGTATCAATCCAAGTATATCCATATAGAAATTATTAATTAATTATTCAAAAAAAGAAATAATACATAGAAATAAAAAGAGCATTGTTTACTAAAAGACAAAGAAAAAAAAAAGTCTTTAGTGTCATGAAAAGTAATTAGACAATAGATTCTTAGAATAGAAGAAAAAAATGTACATTTTTTTTTATATCCATATATTAGCAAAAGATTATATATGATTAAGCTGTGTGTTAATCTTCGAGTCTTGTCTAGTAATCTTTATTCCGGGAAATGACAGTTGATTGCATCATAGACAAGAGAAGAAAAAGAGATTTAAAGTTTTTTTTTTTGTTCGAGACAGCAATGAACAATCATCGATCGATCAAGTGTGACAGGCTTAACGCAATGTAGGTTTATATGATTTGATAGTTATTCCATCCTCTTTATTACATCATTCCTACTACTCGCAATGATGTGTGCCTTATCTTTGCTTTAGAGAAAAAAAATATTTGAAACATTACATGTAACCAACAAGCAGGTGTTACTTACTATTTTGTTAACATTTTTACTAGTCGTTAATCTCACATTCCATACATTTTGAATAAAAATTACGAGAGCAATACATAATATACGTAACTGATGATCATATTGACATGCCTTTGTAATTTCACTATATTACAATTCACCATCCGGCTTCTCCTGTATAGTAGACAAGAGACAATTATAGTGTATCATTATCATTATAGACAACATAAAAGAATGTGTTGCGGCAACTAGAAGAAAATCTTTCATCGGCATCGTCTTATTCTTCTTTTTTTTTCCTTTTTGTTTCTTCTCTTGCCAGTGAAATGATTGACCAGTTGGAAGAACAGAAGTTGTAGCAGATTGGATGTAATATTGAGAAGTATATCAATACTAACAAAATTCTTGTAGCCTTCTATATTTCTTCTTGCATAGATTAGTAATGGTCGTCGTTCTTTTTTTCTTCCTCTTATTCTTTCTTTTTCACATAATGAGAAACGATCGGACACATGCAATCCTTACACGATGAAGGAGACGGAACGGAACAATTATTGAGTTCGACGACGATGGCGATCCAAATTAGTTTTGTAGACGAATGTTACTACTGTTGGTCATTTTCTCAATAAACATACACATTCACATACATAAAATAAGCATCAAGTTCAATATGTCTTGCATGTGTTGAGTTTTTCTCAAGAACAAAAAAAAAAAAGCAAAGAGGAAAAGAAGAAGAAGAGGAAAAAAAAGTAGAATGGAGAAGAAGAAAAGGGTAGGCGAAATAGAAGAACAAGAGCAAGATGGAAGAGTTTTTCCTTCTTCGTTCATCAACATACAACGTCATTTCTATCTGAGTGGTGCGGAAAGACTTGCATGAGAAGAAAAATACCCAGATGGACGTGAATATGTTGTGTGCTGAGGTTCATGCACTCTATAATTACATCTTCTTTCTCTCTTTCGCTATACCGTCCTCCGTCCGTCTATATTCATAGCGCTGGGGGACTATTGAGATCGAGCTATTATTTCATGAATCTTTTTTCTTAGTTGTATGCATGTAACTAACGACCTTGTTTTCACAATAAACCTTGAACTGTGCGATACAAATATGCATTCTTTTCTTTTCTTTTTCTCAATTGCTTTCGAATGATCGATGTGATGTATGCAAGTTCTTCCATTGAGAAAGATCTTTTTTCTTTTTTCATTCCATGGATAAATTCATATGATGATGAGAGTCAATAGTACCATCACAATCATTTTCTTGATCGTGTCTCGGATGCGATATTCAGATTTAGATAGCATGAAGTCAGTTTGCATGCCTAGAGACATGTAACAAATTATAGTTAATGATGCCAACAAAAGCAATGATTTGTTTTTTTTTCCTCGTTTTATATTAATATTATAGACATGTACACTATGAACATTTCATTATTGAATATAATTAACAAAAAAAAAAGTGCGTCGAAGAATACACTTGAATCGAATTAAAGAATAAAAAAAAAATATTGAATTATTTTCATAGAAAAAAAAAAAGAAAAGTTTTCAAAAACAAATCTATTAAAAAAAAAGAAAAAATTTCGATATTATCATCTGTATACTTGAATAAACAAATGAATAAAGTTCTTTATTATTTATGTATTCCTATAAAAAGAACAGGAAAGTAATTTGCATTTAAAATGAATCTAGTTATTGTAGAAGTCGATAAGCTCGGTAAACATTGAAGTGGAACAATAAATATGAATTATAAATTAGACGAGTAAAGACTATTTGTACAACAAATTATGTTCCTTGAAAAAGCAAAAAAATAAATAATTTCGTCTTTTGTTTTTCTTTTTCATTATGATGTTGGATTGTTTTCTTTTTTTTTATTTTACTATCAAGAACAATGAATAATTCATTCACAAATAAAACAAATCATGAACAATTTTATCTTTTTAATAGTGTGTTAAACCATAATCGAATGATATTTTGTTAAATTTTATAATAATAAAGCAAAAAGATCAATGTAAAACATAATAGGCTTGAACCTTGACAAGGATGATATAATTTGCTGCTTGACATTTTTTTAATCAACTATAACATAAGAGTTCATTATACTCGTAAAAGATCTTGCCATTTAGATTCGAAGTGTTTATTGAATAGATCTCAAGAATTACTATATTCTTTTGAACTTAATAGAAAAGAAATAGAACTATTTGTATAGAGACGAACGCATGAATTAGAACAGCTTAATAAATAATGATGAACAGTTTGGCATTATATTTGATAATAACATTCTAAGACAGTTTACTATGTAAAGATATACAGATATAAAGCAAAAGAGCAAATCGTTGTTGAAAATAATCATTCAATTAGTTAATAACTTAGAAAAAAAAAAATATTAGATTAACCTTAAAAAAACGAATAATACATAAAAGAAGTAAGGTCATTTATAGAACTAGTCTATAAATTGGTATCGAATAAATTGAAAATACCAATGATATTAATAGCTTTCTTTTTTTGCGATGCATCGAAAAATAATTATTCATATTTACTCGGCACCAAGAAACTCTTAGTGTAGATTGTATATAGAAGTTTGTCGTAAAACGAACATAAGTCTTTCTCCAACTATTCAAATGTTACAAAGATAAGTGAATTATTTTGACGAATAAGTGTTTATTAATGTAATCATTCGCACCCGACTGACTATATCTAATACATGATAATAATATAAACCAAGTCATGAAGGCAATAGATTCTTATAAATTGACAACTGTTAGCATAAAGATCAAAATCTTTGCTTTCAATATTATATATTGATGTATACATTCTGTATTATTATCGAACATTTTTTTTTTCCATACTTGATTATTTTCTATATATATACATTGAGAAATGTCTTCGATGTGTTCTGTTAATCATTATTAACATATGTAATAGACAATTTTACAAATTTATCAGTTCACAAGATAATATATTCAATATGGATATAATCAATAGTGTCAGTAATCAATTTGAATAAGACAAATAGAAGTTTTCTCATCATGACTGATGATTTGAACTTTAATCAAATACAAAAAAAAAGAAAATGCTGAAAATTATTATTGCGTTTGAATTACAAATGAATCTATTTTTATAGTTAATGTGTGATGAGATTATAAAATAAATTTCTCTGTTGTCAATGAAAAGAATAATAAATGAATTTTTATGTTATTCTATTTTGTAGAGAGTGACAAACATAATTTTCTTTTAAAAAAACAATCAGAAAAAAAAGATGAATAGAACTTCACTTTAAAATTATAGATAAATTAATATAAATGAAAAACAAAATATCAGTTTTGACGTAAAACCTAAGTATGTAGAGTAGAGATTACCTTCATGTGTCATACGTCTACAGAACTTATCTGATATAGATTTGTCTCCAGAAAAAGAAGATTCTTTTTTATCTTTCCATAATTTTTTTTAAAAGTTCTATCAAGACTTATTTATAGATGAATAGTTAAAAGTCACAGAAAAATTGTAAGCATATGCTCTGAAAGAGTACAAAATTCTAATTTTAATACGCTATTTAATAAATTTAAATACGCGATAAATAATCAAATATCTTGTCTAGAAATTTTCGATCCGCTCTTTATTTATATATTGGAGGTTAAGCAAAATTATAGAACATCCTATACAATTTACGGAATGTAAATGACTTTTTTTTTTTCTTCTAAGAACGAACGATACCAACATCGCATTACTATGCATATAGATATACAACTACTGATGCATTCACTAAATGATGTTTCTATCTTACTCCTTCATCTCTTTTTATTTGTAGAAAAATGGAAAATGCTTGTTCCATAATTGTAAGAGACTCTTTCTTAACGGATACTTTTCATTAGTTTGAATAATATTCAATCTTTAATTTTTACATTAGATTACAATTCAGACTAACGCTTGACTTGTTTTTCATTGAGATTCATTTATTTAAGAAAATGGATATAAAATCTTCGAATCATTACGTTTACAAGAAAATTGAAGGGAAATCAGCTAAAATCTTCTTTCATAATATAGCTGAATCATGCTATTTAGTTTTTAAATAGAAGAGAAAATTGTAAATTTTATACATACTACTGGAAACTAATTACATTATTAGAGAAGAGTAGGTTGAATAGTATCTGATAACTATATTGAGTGACACCGAGCGTTTGAGCTCATATTGCGTCCAGAAGAAGATCTTAGTGAGACTAGAAAAAACTTTAAAAGGGCCATTCTCATGAGCCCTTCGCACTGAGTTATGATCGGTTTACTGAGTTTTCGATGTATTATTAGACAATTTTTGAAAAATCAAATCACAGAATTTCGATTCGAAATTTTGTCTATAGATGCATATGTTGACTCTTAAAATATTCTGAAAGTTTTAGCCAAAACTTTCAGAATATTCTAAGAGTCATTAGATCTATCTATAGACAAAATTGTAGAGCGAAACTTCGCGATTTAATTTTTCGAGAAGTACTCCATAAATGAATCGAAAATTCAGTAAACTAATCATAACTCAGTACCAAAGATCTATGGGGACGAACCTTTTTTTAGGCATTTACTAGTCCCTTCGAGGTCTCTGCCAGGGTACAATATGAGTTCAAACGACAGATGCTAGTTAAGGTAGTTTTCTCGTAAGATAAACTGTGATTTTCTGAGACATTCAATCATATACCGTTGAGTTCATGGATATTTATGAATGCAAATGTATCTCAAGTGATAACAGTTGGATATAGTTCCTATAAAAGGTTTCCTACTGGAAAAGTGTAAGTTTTTCTTTAAGCATAATTTTTATATCGTGGTAGGAATCCATGAATTCAATGATATATCATTGAATGTCTTCGAAAAACTATAGTTTATCTTAGTTTTTGCAGTTATTAAATACTTTCTCAATCTACTCTTTTCTAATAGTGTAATCAGTTTCCATTAGTATATATAAAATTTACAATTTTATTGTCTATTCCAAACTAAATGCTATTATTTAATAATATTATGAAAGACAGTTCTTTCTAATTTTTCTTTAATTTTATTTTAAATGTAATTATTCGAAGATTTTAGATCGAATCTCTTAAATGAATATTTTTATGGTTCATTAATGATTTATGATTTGAAAATATTTGACCCGAGAACGACATAGACAAAGAAAATGTTCCTTTAACAAGCGTATTCTATAATTACAGAACAGACATTTCATAGTTTTCTCGAGTATATTCTTAAAATAGCAACAGTCGAAGGAGTAAGATAAAAATACGTCTTAGCATATCAGTAGTTGCGTACCTACATAGTAATAGGATGTTACTATTATTAGTTCGTAGAATGAAATTATTAAGATCTTTTCTTTTTTTGTTTATTTAGAGATGTTTTATTATTTTGACAACCTTATATCTAACGTTTACGTATGTAATTTTCTGTCAAACGTAAATTGATCTTGTGATGAAGGTTGATGATATTCATAGACATTTTTTATCTTAATTGTTTAATTGATTATTTAATATAATTTTAATTCTTATCACTATACGATAATATATCGTTTTTTCTTCAAACAAAAAATACAATAGATTTACAATACATAAACTAAACTATAGATTTCACAATAGAGAATCATTATCAAACAAAATAGACGATTATTTTTCTCAACTTTAATAGTGATGCAGAAATGATTCATCAGTCCAGTATATTACTTTACCATCTTGTTCTATGTCACTATTAAAATTAAGAATAAATCTATTGTATTTTTTCGTCTGAAGAAATTTTCTTACAATAACAAAACATTGCCATTATTGTATAGGAATAAAATATATTAAATAATCAATTATACAATTAAGAATAAAAATATTTAGGAATTTATCAAATGTATATTGAATACAATAATTATGCATAGAAAAGAAAAAATATGGCATATATAATAAATACCGTTATTGTCATCATCACATCTGTTAATTATTATTTTTACATTGTTTTTTTTCTATCTAATCTTTTACCGTAAGAAGTCAATTGTTGACTTAAAAGTATTTTTCATTCTTTTTTTACATTGACAAACTATATTATTTGTTGTGGAAAATCGTATTGTATTGAAATTAGTCTTAGTTGTCGCATGGTGCATTATTCTTTTATTCAAAATACTTTTTTCTATAGATATATAAGTTTATATGGTTTCTTTTCTTATTAATCGTATTTACTCTAAGTCCTATTGAAGTCATAAGCTCACGATTCTTTTCTGATGAGCAAATTCTATCCGAACTAAAAATGCATCTGTCATAGTAAATTGACAGTCAAATATCAATTCGGGATGAATAAACACGACTACTTTGAAAATAAGTGTTGTCTTGAACAGAATTACTTGCCAAATATATTTGATTCTTTTGATATTACAGACAGGAAAAGATATATTTCTTTAAAATTGAACGCTAAAGTTAGCATTTAACGAAGAAGATAATTAGAATAGTGTATGTTTTCCTTTTTTAAAAAAAAAAAAGAAAAAAGAAATAATTTGCTGAATTAATGATGTTTTTACCTAAGAAATTAGAACTTTTGTTTGACAAGAAAAACATGAATAATGCCTAGATGTACGTTATAATAGCATCATTATGATGATGAACAAATGCCAATTTGTTTGCCTTTATGACGTCTTTCAGTCGGAAATGATTGTTATTTTTTCCTATGAATTATATATTTATCGATTAAAAGAAAAAAAAATTCATTCATTCGAAAACTTGGTAATTAACATTTTATTATCTAAGCAATATTGATTGGAACTATTAAATAAAAAAAGTCTAATTGTTTGTCGTTTATTTTAGTCGAGCAAAAACTCTTTAGCTTTCTCATTTATCATATATATATATATGTATGGGTAATGTCGAAACGAACCTCGATATCTCATTAGATCTGTTTTTTGTCTAATTTATCAACACCTTATTGTTCTGTATTAATTTATCATTCAATTTATGTCTGCTTGTGATAATGAGTAGGTGGAGTATATCGGTGAAACTTGCACATTACATACGATAAAAAGAGCAAATAAACAACAACGTTCTGTATAAATAATACATTGACAATAACAACAGACGACGCGCTAACGGCTGTCTCTATTTAGTTAACATTTGGGCGGTACTAACTAATCTTTATCTCTGTATTATGCATATGTATTTTTTGACACGACAGGTAATGCCAAGAAAAAATTGGTATTGTTCTCCATTTCTATCTAAGATTTTAAAGAAGAAAGCAACGAAGCATGTGTTTGAGAACAAGAACAAACGGATAAGTACATGATTTAATTGATTACGGTTGATTGCGTAGATAATGGAAAAAAAACCATAGTACAATTGAATAACAACAGCTCTAGTATTCGATCAGAACGTTACTCGTATCAAATTAATGGGTAGTAATACTCGTCGTCTTTTCCTCCATCTCTACTTTTCATCGTTCATAGTATAGAAGCATGCGTAAATGTCTCTTCATATTCTGAGATGAAGTTTTTCTCACTCTTTTCTGTCTACTTTGTTTGTCTGTCTATAACAAAGCAAGGGACGTGGTTGGATTTTCTGTTACTCCGCCGTCTCGCAGTCGATTTTTTTTTCGTCATCGTCATACTCGTTGTTCTCATTTTCTTCTATTTTTTTTTTCAAAAAAAGAAGAATCCTATGAAAGAGCGAGAAAGTACTACATCATCATCGACGGAGATGACGAATGTGTTATTATTCTATACTGTGAGCTAGTTTATTGTCACATTCTAGTACCAAACTAGAATTAGTTGGTCGTTGTTTATTACTACATGTTGAGCATAGCTATTTCTTGATTCCAATGATATTAATCAAAAATTGAAGAGAAAAAATAGAATAAGAGAACAAGAAGAAGAAAAAGAAAAAAAAAACTAATCTTCAATATGGCATATTGAGAAAAGAATAATTAGGTGAATAGTACTAGTATTTGGAGAGATAGACTCATAAGTGGATCAAGATTCGATATATATATGTCGATTATTTGGGTCATAGATATGATTTAGATGTTACTTGATTTTGACGACCGACGTCCTTTTGTCCATCAAAGAGACTAGGATGATTTTTTATTTTATTAATGATTTCTTCATCTACTAGTTTTTTTTCTTGTCTCGTCGGATTGATATATTTATTTCGTTCTATTCCTTTCTATAGTACCTCTATGTGTATGTGTGCTCCATCGTTCTACCGGATGATACAAATGTTTCCGATCGTCATCATTGCGCGTTGTTTTTTCTCTTGTTGCCTTCTTGTCTCTTTCGTCGCCACGTCGAACAGGAGCTAATCAAAGCCAACACAATTATAGTAAGTACTTATCTACTGCTGCTCTTTTTCTGCGTTGGTAGTGTTAGCTTTTTCTTTTTCATCAATTGGAAGTTAGTAGCTGTGGTCCGAAAAAGTATATACACATCCAATACAATGACATAATCGAACTTGTCAATAAACTCTATTCTGATTATATTTCTCTTCATCTCAAATAACTCTACTGTTTAGTTAATGACAATGATGATATATCTTTATATACGAAGAATACTATAATGCTGTTTATATATTTGTGCAAAGTAGACGAGAAGAGAAGGCATACAGATAATTTATGATTTCACTCTATATAGATATATACACACATAGACATACTCATGTAGTTGAGTATTAAGAAGTTCTACGTTTAGAATAAGTTTGAAAAAAGTATTAAATTAGATTAATCTTGTTGATTTTATTATGAAATACTTAATGAGAATTTCTATTCAAGAATATGAATCAAGTCTACTTGTATTTTTTTTTCTCTTCTTTTTCTTTTTTTTTTTTATATTCGTTTTAGATAAAGTAGATGGAACTATTTAGTTGTTGCTGGTTTTAAGTATAATCATTATCAATATTAATTTTGTCTTTTTTTGTGTAGACTTTCATCTTTTTCGTTACTTATTCATTTTATACGACAAAACATAATATAATACTAAAATTAATTATGCATTCAATGGTAGGAGCATTTGCTCCATATACAATAAAAAGACGTCGAGTTGAAATTGTTCGTGGTTATTGTTATCATTTTTTACAATGTAGTTTTCCATGTGGTATTATCATGCTTATACTATCACTTTTATTTATTATTATTGGTACTATTCAACTTATTTATATAATTCATTTTAATGGTTGTAATACATTGACAATATCGAATAATGAAAATAATATAAATAATAATTTACCAATAGTATCATCATCATCATCATCATCATTTAAATGTAATCGACAAACGGTTAAAGTATTAGGTATTACATTTGTTGTTACGGGTTCAGTTTTATTTTTAATAAGTCTTCTTATTATAAAATATTCACGATCAAGTGAAGAAAATAATGTTATTCGAACAACAACATCATCATTATTAACGAATAATACAAAAACTAATCAAAATCAACATCATCATCCAACATCTCATTATTATCATACACCATCATCTTCAATAAATGATCAAAATAATGTTGTCGTTTCAATACGATAGTTTAGTTCAATTTTTTTTCCATTCTGCATATCATTGTACATAGTTTATTTTTTTTTTTTTTTGTTGTTGTTGTTGGTTTTTGTGCTTAAAAGATAGAGCAGTAGCAGACACATACAACATATAACAATACCTCTTGATAATTGCTCGAATAACCTTTTTTTTCTTCTTTGGATACAATACGTATATATATATATAAGTTATGCTGATCACTATGGAAAGATGGTTATATATATATATATATACAAAGCATTTTCCATGCATTAAATTTGCGGAAAGATCTTTAAAACTAAATTAAAGATTATATATAAGTAAAAAATATTACGAATACTTAAGTACTCTGCTCTAATGGAAAACAACAGATGATGGTTATTTTGTAAATAATCAGGAGAAAATAATGAAAGCATTACTACTTTGCAGTATATAGTTTACTATATGTATTGATAAGATTTGTTTATTTTCTTTTAATATTAATCAAATGTTCGATTACTTAAAAAAAAAAAAAAAAGAAATGAGACAAATTCATGATATTAATATACGAAGAAAAAGTGACAAAGAAAGAAACAATGGGTTAGTTATGATAGATAAATATACTCAATCTTGCAATGTATACAGAAACCAGACACGAATGTAATATGACTGCAAAGATATATAATATCATTAAAGAGATAATGTAATTGAAAATTTATCTAATCAGATATAAAGCTTTGTATTAATCCGGTGTTCATACACTGTCTCGAGAGGTTTTTTTCATACAATAGAACTCAAATGTTCGAATAATCAATTGAATAAAAGTAAACATAAACTTGAAATTTATATTTATGGAAAAACAATATTTCATTCTTATAATAATGGTCATATATTTACAAGTGCATTTACAAAAATAATATGAATAAGTGATAAGTCAGTTTAAAGCCAACATTTTTGTTGAGAATTCTAAATATGAACTAATCGTTAATTTTAGTTAATTGAAAAATGAGAAAAATAAATTAACTATTATTAGAAATCTTTTAATGTTTATCAATTAAATCTTTTTTTTTTCTTCAGTTCTTAAATTTAAAAAAATAATTAACAATGATTATTTATTAGATTATATTCAAAATTTATATTCATAATAAAGTATATGTTTGATATTTTTTCTTTTAATTAAAAAGATGAATTTGATTTATTTGAACTATTTGTTTTCCATGAAATAGAATTTGTTTGTTGTGTAATAACAGTTGAACTGGTACTACTACTATCATTAATTGTTAATATGTTTTGTTCTCGTTTTTTTCTTTTCAATAATTGTTCTTTATCAAAATGAAAAGATTTTCTATTTATCTTTTGTTTAATTATTGATGACAATGATATTGATTGTCGATTGTGAAATATAGCATATAGACATAAAAGAATAGAACTCAATATACAAAAGCTAAGGATGATAAATGAATTCATATGTAACATTCGATTTGTTGTTATTCTTGTTGAAGTATTCATTAAAGATATATTATTACAACTAATGGCAAGAATACGAAAATGTAAATAATGATGATGTTCAAAAATCATAAAATAAATAAAAATAATATAAATGAAAAGTTTCATTAATAAATGAAAAAGAAATAATATATAAGTCAAGCGCCATTCATCGACAAATTCTTTATCGATCTTCTTAAACAAATTTCTTGTTGAAAGATACTGTCAAATATCAAAGTTAGAAAAAATAAAGCACATGAAGAAAACGGTTATCGTAGTTTTGACAATTTTTTTTTCCTATTCATTGGATGATTAATTGCAGTGACCTGTACTTTATCTCTAACTTCGAATGCATTTATTATTGACATGATATATATATAAGTGACAAAATACCATTTTGAAATAAACATTTCCTTTGATTATATGAATAAGCCAAAAAAAAAAAAAGGTTAGCAAATAGAACATATGTTGTATATAGGCATAGACTGATAATAAACGAAGGTAATTATTTAAAGGTACTCATTTATGATCCAAATGTCTCTGCGTACTTCTTTACATACAAATGACAAGAATGATAAAAATAATAATTAACTTCTTGCCACTTTATCAAATACCATACCAATTATTAGAACTTGACGTACTTCTTTTTCTATATCGATCATATAGTTATTTTCTTTATTGATAGAAAACTGAAGATATTTTTTTTTCTCCTTACATTCCAGATGTATACATATGTTTATATATATATATATATATAAGAAAATCGAAAATAAATTTTGTTTTTATAGATAAAATATAAAGCCGATATCAAATTTCTATCATTGAAAAATTCTAATATATATTATATGATATGCATCAATAATTATAAAATTCTTATATTGATTATTTACATTTTTATCATCGTCATTTATATACTGCATGTCTTTTCTTATTTCTTTTTAGTATGCGATTGCTTTATTTGTCTCTCTATCTCTTTTTCGGTTTCTTTTCCTATCTCTTAGGCGTACAATTCTTACTATCATCATCCTTATATTCTGTTTCTTGAAAGACTAGAATGTATGCTTCTGTTTATTGGATCTACACCCTCACACCCTCAATTGATTTGCACTAACAACGTGTTGTCCTTTGTATCAAAAAAAAACAAAATCTTGTTCTCTCTCTCTCTCTCTTTCTCTCTCCCTCTTCTTCGTTTTCTTTTCTGACAAGATTGAATAACAAAAACCACATGTTATTAATAATACTTGATAATTGCTAATCATTCAACTTCGTTGTTATACATTGTTCATGCCATCATCTTTTAAAATGTCACCTAAACCGGTGGATTCAATTGTTATCGATGACTTATTAACACAAAAACCAACAACAACACTTTTACATTCATCAAATATAAAAAAACAATATCATCATCATTTATATAATTATTGGACATTAAATGAACGTTTAAGATCAAAAAATGAAAAATTAACTAAAATACAACAATCATCATGTCGTTTTACATTCTATTCATTATGGTTATTTGTATTAGCAGGTGTTATGGGTATTATAGTATATCGTTTTACAAATGATTGTCCATTAACAACAAATGATAAAAAACAATATAGTTTAAAATGTTTAAAACATATTCTCTTTCTTGTTGCTATATGTATTGGTATTCTTGCATGCAGTGGTGTTATGTGTGGTGCTTGTCGATATTTTCGTTCTCAACCTCGACAATTGTTAAATAATGATGAATGTGAATTACGTTTAATATCAAATTATGACGTTTTACCAATATCTGATACATCACGTTCGTGTTGTTGTCAAAGATCATTGATTAACGATGCTTCGTTATTACCGTCTCAACAAATATCGAATCATAACGATGAACATTCAAATATTACTGTAAATTCATCTATACAGAATATATCATCACAACGCAAGGTGCCTCCATTTACATACGAAGAATTACCACCAACCCGCTCATTTTCTCCTCCATCATTACCACCATTACCGATACCGCCAAGCGTTAATTTAAACTCAAAATTGTCTAATACTACTAATAATAAAAGTATATTTTTTTCATCGTCTACTTCATCTTCATCATCACCACAATCAATTTTTTCTGCAACAGTAACTCCTGATAATCCTAATGCAACAACTTCTAATAATAATAATAATAATAAAAAACGTAAATCAACATTAACTTTCGAAGATGCTTGTGCAAGTACTCCTACTTCTTATACGACTTGTGTATGCGGAACAGATGTCTGGGAAAGACAGCAAAAGCCATAAATTTCAATGTCATCTCGTTAAACTTTTGCTTCATTTCAACTTCCTGTTTTTTTTATCGAACAATTGTTGATTGAATGACTTAATCTATAATAACTGAATTTTAATCTATCTCGTTCTACCATTTGTTCACTGCCTTAAATATACATATTTACATCATATCGATGGTAGTGGGTGCTATTGTTAAATAGTTTTATTTTCAATTTTATATTCTATATCAAAATACAATAAAAAAAAATGAATTGATGAATGTTGGTTTTTTTTTTTATACATTCATCATTGATTTTGTATTTGCAAACAATTTTAACGTAGTAAGTTCAACAGAAAAGAACAAATATATCATCACTGAGTAAATCTAAAATAAAAAGTTATTCTTATCTTGTCTTCGTGTTTCATAAGTTGATGGCTATCTGTCTTCTGTTATTGGTAGATTTCGCATCCTAATCCAATTAGTCGCTCCAAGTAATAGTAGTTAAATAAGAGAGAAAGTCCAAGAAAAAGAAAAAAGAAGAAGAGAAAAACGAAGAAATAGATAGTTAATATTTATTTTCCTTATCGGCCCTAATTTAATTAGAATAAACCTATACACGTACGAACAGTTGACGAATACATAACGATGCTGTTCGCTTCATTAATCGAGTTCTGCTTAGTCGATCATCAATATTTAGAGTTTATATAAAGAATATATAATATTCCTTTTGGCTAATTTTTACTTCTTGGTTTTTTTTATTTCTTTAAGACTTCATTCAATTTATGAATAACGAGAAGACTATGTTTCTTAACAATTCCCTATTGGCATTACAATCATATTTGCATTGAATTTTGTTTTTTTTTGTATGCCAATACATACGATTAATATTCATGTTTTTATTTTCAACTAAAAAAATAAATCATTTAGAACATCAAAAGATCAAAAAATATATGGAAATATCACAAAATAGTTTAAATAAAACCGAGCAAAAGTGGAATGAATGATTACGAAAACTATATCGCGATTAAGTTACATGTAAATAAAAATTAAAAAAAATAAAAATTAAAAATTAATTTTTTCGTTTGGGTCCTCCTAAAGATTTTGCCATCAGTGTAACAAGTGCTCTAGTTACATCTCCATTTGTTAATTTTAATTCTTCTATAGCTTCTTCTCTTGTAAATCCTTTCTTTGTTAATTCTTTAATGTCTTTCTCTGGAAAAGGTGATGGTGTTAAAGATGATGCACTGGCTGTTGCTGCTGCTGGTTGATTCGATCGTTGTTGACGACGATTATCAACTAAAAGAAAAAAAAAAGAAAGTATTTATCTATTTTAATAATTCTTATATCGATTAATGTAAATACAAAAAAAAAACTACAGTGACAGATCATAAATATGCAATGTACTACACATATTGTGTTTTGTTTTTGTTAGTTGATCTGTAAGATCCAGAAAAACAAACACATAAGAACTTACGATCGATAGAAGTTCTTCGAGCTTCATATGTATAAGCATATAAAATATGAATAATAAAAGATTAATCATCTTATATTTACCTGATTCTGCAGTTGATTGTAAAAATGCTCCTGGTAGATCATGACCTTCTGCACCGGGTGAATGAACCGATAATCTTGCATGTGCTGGTAATTCAGATTCAGGTAGAAAACTTGTTTCAACACTATTTTCAATTCGAAGTACATTTCTATCCAAATCAATGACACACTAAAAATAGACAAATTTTTTTTTTTTCGAATGAATAAAATGAATTACTCGATGACGTCGTAACATATCAAGTCCTAATAACATATCAATTGATTGATCTTCAAGTACAGCTAATGAAGTTGCAAAAAATTGCTTTTCAACTTCAAGTTGTGCTAAAAAATGAATATAAACATAATGATATAATACATAATGATAAAATAAGAAATTAAACCTAAATGAATACGTCCAAGAATTTTTTGTGTACCAACACCTCGAGCAATGCCACTAAAACGTGTATCAATAAGACGCATAATTCCACAACGTTCAGCACATTGTTTACTCATAATTGTCATTTGAGCACCAGAATCAACAAATGCTTTAACAGGATGACCATTGATTTTACAATTCTATTTAAACCAAAAGGAAACGTATTCATTTAACATAAAATATTTCTTTTTTTTTCTCTTACAATATAAAGCATAAGAACATGACCAAAAAATTCAGGTGCATGCTCATAAGCATGTTCCATATTGTCTAGAACATTTTCCATACTGAACAAAATAAAAATATTTATTTTCGTTTCAGCTTTTATTTATTTATTTATTTTGTTTTACTTAATAGCTTCTTCAATACGTCGCTGCATTCTTGGATCAAGTAAATCAAATTCAGTTGGAGGACGCATTAATTGAGGTGCCATACGATTCATCACATATTGCAAGAATGCATCTAAAACAATAGTTAATATTGATTATTCTTGTTTAAAAAAAACAACAACAAACACTATTCATACTCATATCATTTCGTTCAACGGCATCGGCTAATTGAGGATCAGTTTGACGAACTCGTTGAAGTACTGTTGGATTAGCACGTAGATCATTAAAAAGTTGTTGTGGATTATGAGCTTTAAACACAGAGAATCAAATTAATTTTAAATAGAAGTGTTTCTTTTTAAAATCCATACGATCAAATAATAGACGTATTCTAGAACCTGCGCCTGGGTTTGCAGTCGCACTGGCTAAAATAAATAATGAAACTTTTTGACTATTTATTTCAATTGTTTAGCCGTATTTCAATTAAGAAAATATGCAAAATTCATATTGAAATCAACACTTATATATATATGTCTGGAAAAGTGAAGCATTGTTATTTCGATTAAGATGATCATTATCGAATCTATAGAATTCAGATTGTAGAAAAATAAAGTAGTCGATATAAAGCAGTATATTAATTGATTTTTTTTCTTTACAATAACATTATGAGTTTATACAAAAGAAAAAATAGGTAAATACAGAAGTCTTAATCGACTGTGATCCATTTATATTTAGTTCATCAAAAATAAGATTTTTATTTTATTTGATATTTCTTCCAATCTTTAGTCATGTGTTTTTAAAAAAAAAAAGTTCGCAACTAAAATTTCAAAACTATTCTGACATTTCAAATCCAATATCAAATATCAATATATACACCTGTAGGGAAAAGTCTTTCCACTCTCCCAAAGGAAAATAAGCTAGGGAGGTAGAGGGAAAGACTTTTTTCCCAAGGATATATATATATATATATTCATATTGAAGTCACGAACATACACGCATCCCAAGAGAGAAAAAAAGCGGAAATTCTCTACTTCAAGAGTATATCAAAGCTATTCCCTAGAACTTTCTAGCTATTTCAAGTCTATTATTAACGTATGTCACAAGTATATTAGTTTTAGTTCATTTTATATAAGTCTGTTTGGTAATAAAAGTCAAAACACTTCATTGTACTTCAACCAGTCAAGTACGATGAAGTGTTTTGACTTTTATTACCAGACAAACTTATATAAAATGAACTCAAACTAATATATTTGTGACATATGTTAATAATAGACTTGAAATAACTATAAAAAGAAACTGAAGTACGGAATTTTTGATTTTTCTATTTGGCTTATCCTCAATGTATTCATTTTCATTATCTGATCATAAATATTTAACAATATGGACTAATTCTATACTAAAATTAGGATATGAAAAAAAAAAACGAAATTCAATTCAATTAAAATCTCTTAAAAAATAACATACGTAGTCTTCGTTGACAAGTAACAACATCATAATCTTTTAAATTCGATTGTTCAAGTGTTTGATTTTCATTACGAATTAATTTGCCTGAAATCGAAAAAGAAAAAGTAATAAACAATATGAAATTTATAATTAAAATTATTTAGATTTACCATCAAAATAAAGATTCATTTCATCTGCTTTTATTCCAAAATTTGATTCAGATTCAACTACAACTTTTAAATCTTTTATTGTAAGATCAGGAGCTATTTCAATTGTTAATAACTCTTCAGTATCACCATAGTTCGCTACTGAAATATGCATTGTTATAAATTCAAAACCAAGAATATTTATTTTAATCTAAAAAAAAACAAAATTCTTATTTATTTTTTTGTTTTTTTTAATACTGGTAATAGATCATCATCATCATCATCATTTTCTTCTTCAATTTGTTGTTGAAATATAGGTTTAGGTTGTGTATGTACATAAGCTGGTGTAATCCATTTTGGATTACATTCAGCTTCTTTAGCATATTTTAATAATTCAACTCGTGAATCTTCTTTTTCTATAAAATTTGATTTTACTATTGTTTGAATAAAATGTTGATGTAATGAAGAAGAAGATTTATTTTCTTCTTTTCGTTTTTCTGGAAAAATCTGTGTTTTTTTTTGTTCATTTATAGAATCTGAAGTAGAACTAGATGTTATAATTGGATTAATATTAGTAATAAAATCATTTGTATCTTTAGATTTTTTTTCTTTACGATTAAGACATAAACGAATACCAGCCATTGGTGATCGTTGTTCATCATAAAATGTACGAATAAGTCCATTATTTGTTGTTGTAAATATTTGATTTAATTTTGGATGCCATAATGTTCGTATAACACTATCATTAAATAAAATTTCATTAGCTATTTTTGATAAATTATTTCGATTAAATATTATTAATTTTCCATTTGTATTATCATCATTAGTTGAATTAATAAGTTTTGATACACCAGTTATAAGAAATTTATCATTTGGTGAAAATGATATATTTGTCATTGAAAAATGATTATATATATTTTCATAAGATGATAAACATTGATTAAATTTTCTTATATCCCATAATTTAAGTGTATGATCAGTTGATCTTGATGCTAATATTTGATTATCATATGACCATTTTAATGATGTTATTGATTCATCTTGTAAATGTGCATTTAAACATTTAAATGTAACATGTACAAATGATCGACGACGATCCCATACAAGTATACTACCATTATCACAACCAGCAGCTATTAAATTTAAATTTTCATTATGATATAATGATTGATTATATGTACAAGTTGTTGTTCGTACATCACGACCAGATTCACCTTTTGTACGAATAACATGTAATTGTTGATCACGTTTATTTAATGACCATATACGTAATGTACAATCATCAGCACATGTCATAAATTCTTCTGAATTTGATGATGGATTCCAACAACCATAATTTAATAATGATTTATGACCTTTTGTACGATTCATATCAGTTACATACATATCACCAAGTACAGTTTTATAAATAATATGTTTTCCAGATGCTATAAAAAGAAACATTAGTTAGCTATATTTGTAACTTGAAAATACAATACGAGAAAAAAATATCGAGAGATATTCTTATACAACTTGTTATACTTGATTGAATTTAGACTAGATATGAGCAGGATGGACTCGATGCTCCCAAGACTAAAAACGACTAGTCTAGCCTATGTCTAATTAAGTTCCTTATTTCTGTAAAAAAAGAAACGTTAATCCTATATATGCTATATTGTATGAAAAATTTCAGCTATTATATTTTTAATACCATACGATATATTAGTGATTGGAACGCGTAAAAGTAAAGAACTATAACTATTATGTACTTTTGTGATACACAATCTAAAAGGACTGTCGAAGCATAGAGGTGGAAACTTGAACCCTCAATGGCTATGATAAACATCTTAGCAACGCCTGTCTTTCACCTGCCCGCGCCACACATTGATAATGTACGATCGCAGACCGTATATCAATAACATCTCGTTCTAATATATTAACTACTTCCTTATTGTCTTTGTGGAAGATTAAATAAAACGATGGTGAAGAAATGTATCCCAAAATAGATAGAATAAAACAATCTGTTTGTGATTAGCAACAACAGAAAATTATAAACCCGATGAACTCCAGTCATCTGAGAAATGCGTAGGATACGCTTGTCACCGAATCCAAAAAAATGGAAAAAATGATCTTGTACCTTCGAGACGACTATCCAATTCCGATTAGAAAATTTCATTGGGAGTAGCACAATACGGTGGTTCGACAGCGTCCGAAACGTTTTGAACCTGACGAGCTCTCCTAAACACTGTACATCTCCACTGTGTTCGTCCATAAATTCGTTCTTTTAAATAAACCTGATATTGTTTTACTCAAAAAGTTTGCTCCGATATTTTTTCCTATCTATGAGATCTAACCATTTAATCATAAATATATTTTAATTATGTATAAAAAAAAAACCTATTTTCTATAGCTGAATATAATATATTACAGTTAATTTTCTAGATTGTCATAACAGTTAAATGATAATGATGAGTGAAAAATATTCATTAATGATAAATTAATAAATTTTGATTTTTTTTCTTTTAACTGACATCGAAAATCTCTTATCTCGTACCTTCTCGATTGACAACAATTGCCTGACAATCTCCCGGAATAATAAGTATCATATCATTATTTGCACTATATTCAATAGCTCGTAATAATCGTCCAGGACATGGTTGAATAGTTCGAAATGGTTGAAAATTTTTATCCATAGATGTAAAATCAAACATTTTCATTGTTTCATCATGTCCACCTGTAATCATACGCATACCATTTGAATCTAATGTTAAACATGATACAGTTTTAAGGCCATGAATAATATTTACATGAGATGATATTGGTAATATATCATCAATATCATCTTCAACATCACTATTACTCGTACTCGTATCCGACATCTGTAAAAAAAAAAACAAAGCTTATTATTTTCCGTTAACAAACAAATTTATTCCGAAGAAGATTATTGCAAAAGAAAAAAAAACAAACTGTTCTTTTGTTTTTTTTTTTGTTTAAATAAAAAATATTGTTTGACTAGCATAATTGCTTCATCTTTTTTTTTCTATACATTATACCAATCAAGAAAGAGAAGTGAGAAAATCATAACAAGTAAAAAAAATATAATCCAACGACGCATTTGTGCTGTATTTCGAACAGCATCACGAATATGTATAATAGCAGCAGCTAAATCATCATTACTAGCAACAGCTGCTGCATCAACTTCTTCAATAAGATCTTTTTGCATAAATATATTATCGAATAGTTCATTTTGTAATTGTGCTATTTCAACAACTTGTGTTGATATTGCATGAATTTCTTCACTACGTTGGGCAACATCATGATATAATTGATTATTTTCTATTTGTAATTGACGAAGTTCACTACTAGTTGGTGGAGTTGATGGAATTTGATTTTCTTCATCATTTTCAATATGATTATCTTGATCAAAATGATGATTAGTAGTAGTTGCTGTTGTATTATTCGAACTGAAATAAATTATCAAAATATAAAATGAATTTCATTTGTGAAAATATTCTAACTTGTTGTCAATTGTGTTTGTTGATTTTTTTGTATCATCTATAAAATCATTTGTCTTTTTTCGATTATTATTTTTATGCAAATTTAATATGACACGTTGATCATCAGTATCAAGTCGTCCAATTTTTTTTCTTTCTGATTCACATTTATATCGTAAACATTTTTGTTCACTATAAATTTTAGTACATTCAACTAAATCACGTTCTAAATAAGCACAAACTAATTCAAAATGTGTACGACGTTGTCCTTGAAAACAAATTTGTCCAATAGATGATTTTAATTGTTCTAAATTATCTCGACATTGTTTTATTTGTTTTTCCATATTACATTCAAATTCTTGACGTTGTTCATCATTCATTATTTTATTTGTTGATGATAAAAGATAATATGGACTTAAATAAATTGTACGAGAATTAAGTAAAATATTTTTTAATTTTATTATATCATTAAGAATTAATTTTGCTCGTGATAAAAAATTTGTTGAAATTTTTTCACTTTTTTTTACATGTTTATTTAAACCAAGATTAAAATCCTTTGTTACATGTTTAGCTTTTATAACAGCACGAAAGACTTTTGTTATATCAGTCATCTAGAAAATATAATTGATTATATATTAAGTTTTTTTTTTTCTATTTTCAAGAATCTTTTATTTAATAAGAAAAAGAACGTACATATAGAAGAAGAAGTAGAATTAGAAGACATCTTTAGAAGACCGGGACAGAATACGAACAACTATCTCGTTATTGTGTATAAAGACAAAAATATAGTTGATGTTTCTGTACAATATAGACATAAGACGCAATGTTTCTTTTTTTTTTCTGTTTCTATAAAGTGCGATAGATATATTTAAATTTTATGTGGTGGACCATCATCATCATTGTTGCTATTTTCAACAACATTATCTTGTTGATCATCTGCGCCACGTTTACGTTTTTCACCTTTTGATGGTTCTAGGAAGTAAAAGATAAGCGAAACGTTTTATTGAGAAAGACAAAACAAATAATATTTACTTTCAATTGTTTCAGCTGAAACATCACCTTCTGATAAATCATCATCTTCATCTAAAGATAGAAATAAATAATTGAAAATTTTCAATATCTAATATAAATAAACGAACCAGATTCTTCTTCTTCTTCATCACTATTGCCTTCATAACTTTCTTCATCATCATCATCACCTTCTTCAAATGTTCCATTATATAATGCTTTTAAACCAGTTTTATTATCATCCTAAAATATGAATATTTAAATTTAAATAGAAATGTTTCTGTTTTGCAAAAATTGTGAATGACTTTTGTCATCATTTATTTGAAAAATAAACTGTTTTCACAAGTAGGAAATCTTTCTTTTGTTTACGCTTTTTTGATTGCACGATTCTTGACGAAATTTCACTGTAAGCAATTCCTTAGTTTTTTGTTTAAAAGAGCATGTCACGATGCAAGACGTGACCGAGTCTTTTTATAATTAGAGCGCTATGTTTGGAAACATTGAACTTTTTTTTCCCTTAAAAAGTAAGAATTTAAAGGGTTCCGTCATTCGCCTTCAAACAAAAAATAAGTACATAAAATGAAATCTCATATAGAATTTTAGGTTACCAAATGAGTAGCTAATTTTGATCCTTGTTTTTTCAATATCTCCGGAAAACATCATGATATAGAATTGAAAATTTCATGCGATTTAAATGTACCGTGTCCAAAATCGATTTTTGAGAAGTCTTAACAAGTCTAAGAAATTACTACAAAGATCTATCATACCTCTTCATATTCATCTTCTTCTTCTCCTTCATTGTCTTCTGAAAAACAAAGCATTTAACAATTTATTTTCTTTGAAAATAGAACATCATTTACCACCATCGGATGCACCATTTTCATTATCTTCTTCATCTTCATCCTCATCATCTTCGTCATCACTATCTTTTTCCTCTAAATAAAAAAAAAGAATATTTCAACAGTAAAAGATCGAAATAAAAAATTTCTTTTTTGCTTACCACCATCTTTATCTGCATTATCGAGATATTTTAATTGTGGTAACATATTAAACATTGTTTCTCGATAACCATCAACCGATGTGACTTCACAATTCATTAAATCAAGAATTGATAATTTTGGTAATTTAGACTTTTTATTTAAGAAAGAATAAGATTAAAATTTCTAATCATCAAAAAAATAACTAAGTGATTTATCTTACTAATGGTTTAAGTTCATCAATTGATTTAAATTTATTTCCAGCAAGTATAAGTAAAGTTAAATTTGGACAACCTTCAAGATTTTCCAATCCTGAACTTAAACGATTATCACTAAGATAAAGCTAGAAAAACAAAAATTTTAACTAAAATAAACATAAATGAAAAGATTACTTTTCGAAGTTTAGGTAATTTCGGAAATTTCGCAAGTGATTGAAGGCCAACATTAATTATTGAAAGTACGCGTAAATTACAAAATTCATCTGTTAAACCTTGAATAGAATAACAACGTGCACAATTATCTAATACAAGTTCATTAATCTATATAGGAAAATATAGTTTAAAAAGTATTAAATACACAAAACACAAAAAAAAGAAATATTATTTACTGAGCTCGGTTCACGACGTTTTACTTCAAGTGCAATACGGTGTACCATGGAATTTTGTTCGGTAGCAACACTGTTTTCATCTTGCATATTTTGTTCAGACATGATGAGAGAATCAAAATGATTATTTTTATCCAAATAGATGAAAATAGAAAAATATACGATATAAATTTATTGAAAAACACCGAAAAAAAAGAGAACAATGGAGTCTTGCAATAGACGACAAACAACGACAAATGTTGAATTTAGTTGGATAGAAAAATTTAACGTCAGATGACACTAGTTTCCAATATGAAATTTTTGTTGTAGAAAATTATATTGATCTCTCAGTACTTTGTTATTTTCTAAGACACATTTCAAACAAGCAATCTAACGAAAAAAGAGGTCGTCAACTGGTCAATCGTGTTTTAAGGCAAAACTTAGCGGACTATAAGGAATCAACCATGCCGATTCCGAATATCACCATAATTTTTGCTGCTAGACCTTCAAAGGTTTGGTTTTCTCGAAAATTAATTTTCTATAGCAAATTTTTTTTTTCATCTGTCTAGTTTGTAGAGCGTCTCGAGTTGAGTATAGGAAACTATTTTTTTTTGAACCACCATAGAGGGGACTAGGAGAATAAAAAGTTTTAATTCTTACTATTTCTCATACTTTTCTTTCAACATTTACATTCTATAGGTTTTATTGCTAACTTTTTTTTTTCTTTATTCCAGATGTTACGTAGTTCATTTTCAGATTTTCTATTCAGTTTTTGATCTATTTGAAACCATATTATCATAACATGCAGAGGTATAACTTACCACTAAAGATCGGAGGTGCAGCATAAGCAAGTGTCAAAAGTGAGGGAGCGTTATATCCCACGCGCTTCTGATGACCTGTTCTTTTGTTCTTCTAACAAAATCAGTTCATGATTACCAGGGAAGGATTTATTTTGCATCTGTCTTAGTAGTGATTATTTTCTTGCTATTTGGCTTGAAGATGTAGGTGAAATAGAGACCTCGCCCTCGCCTACACCCTTTTTAACCTAAAGAAAACTTTGAGGAAGATAAAGGCCTTGTTAGTTTTTTTTTCAATCATTGAACCTCAAAAGATTGAAATTCGGAGCCCTCCGGCGAGCTGTAGAGTGTGTTATACATGTCTGAGTACAATGACAGAATATGGTGTAGTGCAATAGCAATGTGTATTCGACACAATGATATTTAGCATTATGGAAAACCTATGAAAGTTCAAGCTCTACAAACTTTTTTCTCTTCTAGTCCCATCTGTAATAGTTCAAATTTTGAAAAAAATAGTGTTTTTGATAATCTGTTCGAAGTGCTCTACAGACAAAATCGATTTAGACAGGTTTTTTAACGAAAAAGAAAGCTCGTTTTCAAGAAAATCGAATATTTGAAGGTCTAATGGCAAAAATCATGTTGATATTCGGTATCAACATGATTGATTACCTATAATATGATAGGTTTTAGATAAAAAGCGATTGAAAAGTTGGTGACTTTCCCTTGTAAGATAAGGAACTTTGTAAAATAAAGTTTTGTTGGATTTTTCAACTGTGTGTTTCAATTTTTTCAATAAGAGTATCTTTGACTAATATTTCTTGTAGATGAAAGAGAGATTTGTCTTATCATAATTATTGTGTTAACCGATAGATATGAGGTATTACATCGCTCTATTCAAATTTCAAATTTGACAACGACTGCCAATCTGATCAGATGTTTCCTATGTTCTGTTGATTTCTGTGGAAAATCATTTCAGTTTTAATATAGAATGTATTTAATCGATATAAGATATATCTCTATTTCTCTTGCGATACACACAATCGTCTAAATTAATTTAAATTTGAATGAAAAAAGACTGCATTCAATTTCAAACCGAAATAGAAGTTTTTTGAATTATTCATTATTATATGCTATATAGTAATGAATGATTTTAAAGACTCTGAAGGCCACTATCAATAAAATGTAAAAGTCAATAGCGTATTCTCTTAAACTACAGCTGTCTGCAAAAATATGGACGTGATTTTTTTCTTTAATTCGGTTTGAAATAAAAAAGATCATAGACTTCATGGTACTGGTATAATCAGTAACATCTCGAGAAATCAAGTCCTTCTTATATGGAAAATATTTACAATGAATTGTTTCTTTGTTTTAATTTGTTATTTTTCGAAAGAACTAGTTATTCTGTTATCTCTATGAAAGTAAATTAAATAAATAATTGAAACTAGAATAATAAATTAACATATGTTATAGCATTTAGTCGATTTAGAAAATCAGAAATATCACCGGATCTGACTGGGCCTGTAGACCAAATTAGATCCGAAAACAGTAGCCTGTTGGTAATTCAATTCATCGCTTTCTTAAATCATTTTGTTAGTATCTTGAGATTGTTTAAAACTTTAAAAATTTCCCTTTTTATCATATAACTGAATTAACTAGATTTTGATTAAAACAATAGTGTCTAAAACGTTGTGGCATGATAAGTTTCCTTAAACAGGATACCATGATATAGTATGATTGTTCAACATATCATCAATTGATGTATAATTATAGTCAACCATAACAATATATTAATTCTTCTCAAATAAGATTGAGCGTTATTAGAACATATTGAGTGATTGACTTAAGAATACAAGCAATTGTTTGTACATTTGAGACTAAGTCAATAGAAATACTTAGGGCTATCTAAAACTAGTGGCGAAAGTATTTGAATGCCTTATAAGAAGCTTACAGAAACTCTTTCTCTATATGGACTGATAGTAAAATGATGTTCTATTTTTCTGTGCAAGCACATAATTCCTCAAGTAATGAAACTTCGATAACACCTATTTTTTTATCATATGTGACGATTATACTAATGGCTATTTAAAAAACGGCGGAGTGAATATTTTTTGAATAACTTCTGATAGGAAAGGGATAGAGAGCTACGGTTTTCATCATTCGAAAGAGGAGATAAAGATGCATCGAATTATATATTATATGTTTTCTTAGTATGTGGTTTAAAGTTTGTTTGATCAATTTTCTCAGTG